CAAATCAAATCAAATCAAATCAAATCAAATTACATGAGACTTGATTTTTTTTGTCCTCCTCTGATTTATGAAGAGTTGTCTGTTTATGGCACCATGCACCATACTATTTTGATACTTTTTTCTCTCAGAAAATAAAATAACTTTGTAGTACTATAATTGCATTAAGGGAAATCAAAGGCACGCTGGTAGTTTGGGTGGATGCCGATCCTCAGTTGTTGACTTCAGTTTTTAATCCTCTGGCATACATGGAGTGTTACTGGAAGGTGGGGGCAGAAATTTATTTGCACAGAGTAACAAATAGGGAAAAAATAATGTGAGCTCCTATCACTGCTCAGAAAGGGATTTTGTTACTCGTTTGAAAATTCAGTCTGGTTAGTGTTGGGTTTTTTTTGTTTTGTTTTTTTTGCTTGCCTAGAATCTGAGAACATTCTTCCTGAAAAATGGATTCATGGATTCATGCATGTGTGGCTTTTTGAACTTTAAATAAAGAATCTGAAAGAAGTACCACCAGTTGATAAATTTAGACTGCCATAATTAGGCTTTGGTGTAAACTTAGGTGAAAACAAGAAGCTGATCCTCAAACTTGGTTTTTTACACACAGAATCATGGCGAGTCTGTTCTTATTTGGAAGACCGATGTCTGGAATGTTTCATTCTAAATGATGCAGGCTATTGATTGAGTTGGATTGTTGTGGCCATCAAACTTTGCAGTGCTTCTTTGGAGTTAAAATGGAAAGATTAAATATGGAACCTACTGAATACAGTTTGTGTTATTATACCACTGACTCATTAAGTCCAGCTTCTTTTCTGTTCCTGTATAACCATTTTTCTTGTTCGTCCCAAGTGTGTATTGAATTAGGGCTTCCTTGTACTGTCCACAGTAATGTTTGAGCTTTTTCCTTGAGTGGTTTTACTTAATTATTCCTTCTGATGCATTATCTCATATTTGATGGAAGAGGAAAATTCAGTTTTGGATCTTGGCCAGAATTTCAGTGCTGACCCTAAAAACCTGAATGTTTTCTACACAGCCTAGCTATTTGTTCTCTTAAGAATTGTGATAGTGACCTGAGTTTTATTTGAAAAGTACACTTTTTTCTTTCTCATCTTAAAATCTAGCTGTCTTATAAAAGGCCTGGTTTCTTTTTTCCCCAACTCTTTATAATGCCCAATTTGCAGTTTACCAAAAATATTCATGACACAATGAATGCTGCGGTATATGTAGAGATGGTACACATTAAAACCTTGATGTCCACCTAGACCAGTGTTTCTCAATCTTGGCAACTTTATGTCCTATATTGACTTCAATTCCCAGAATCCCCCAGCCAGCACAGCTGGCTGGGGAATTCTGGGAGTTGAAGTCCACCGGACTTAAAGTCGCCAAGGTTGAGAAGCACTGACCTAGACAGATGCCTTAAAGATTGTGAGCTGGGCACAGAATACAGCGTAGGTTTTCAAATCTGTTCAGATGTATTAACTAATGAGCAAAGCTGTGTGAAATTGGCAACCTGTGGTTGAAAGATTAGAGAAAAGCATGAATTTTCCCACCTCACAGGAAATCTAATTTTCAACTATAATGTGTTAATTTCCCTCGATTCCACTATGGAGCCCTGGGGCCAAATCAACCTACAATATGAAGCCTCGGTCTAGCGGGTAACTCTTCCCTGTGTTTGGCTTGACCATGTTCTTGAGTACTGGAGAATAATCTTGCCAGGCTCTGAACCCTTCACCTTCCCTCATTCAATGCACTCATTTCCTATCAGAGGAAGAAACGGGTTCGTTTGCAGGGGGCCCCTCCCCCTCATGTTTCTGGAGTTGGCGTTGTTTTGCTTCACAGATCAGGAAACCGCAGCTTCCTTAGAGAAACTGCTGCACAGAGAAGGAGAGGCTTACAACATGTGCCGCGAGAGGAATGGGGCAGGCAGATTTATGGGCAAGAGGCTTCCTGGGAAATCATGATTAGTCCTGATTCCAACAATGCAGCAGGATAATAAAACAACACCACCAATTTCCGGGGATATCTGGAAAACAAACCAGGCTGCTATTAGGCTTTTTGCTCAATACCGACTTGAAAAATCTTTAAACATTGTTTTACTGGGCACAAAATTATTGACCTGCCTTTACTGATTTCTAACAAATTGCAATTGCTCTTTCTTTCCCAAAATCCCATCTTGGAAGTGTACACAGGAATGAGGTCCATTGCATAACCGTGTTAGCATGTTTCTGAGAACCAACCACCTCAGACAATGCTTTTAAGTCTAAATTACAAGCTTAATATGAAGCTGTTTGTTTGTTTGCTAAATTTATTTACCGCGCAGCCAATGGTGAAATTCAATTTTTTTTTACTACCTCTGTGGGCGTGACTTGGTGGGCGTGACAGGGGAAGGATACTGTAAAATCCCCATTCCCTCCCCTCTCCAGGGGAAGGATATTGCAAAATCTCCATCCCCACCCCACTCTGAGGCCAGCCAGAGATGGTATTTGCTGGTTCTCCGAACTACTCAAAATTTCCGCTACCGGTTCTCCAGACCTTGCTGAATTTCACCCCTGGGCCCAGCTCATTCCAAAGCAATTCTGGGGGGCTTATAGCATAAAACCATTATATTCCATTCGCTCTTGATAATACAGTTATGCAGTGGTCCTCATTTCTGGACTTCCATATAAAGTCTAATTACTAATGAAATGAAGGTAATACTGGAGGCAAATCTCTTCAGACAGGATGTTGTGACCTTTGTGAAGAGAAAGAAAGTGACAAAAAATAAAGTACAGAGTTACTGATAATGATAGAAATGATGTGAGGATTACTAATCACTTATCTGTTGCTATAAAGTACAAACAAAATGTTTGATATATTCAAATTCGACTAGAATTGTTTGAATTTATGAGATATCTGTAGAGTAGCTACTGGAGAAAAGCCTAATGCTGGGAATGATTGAGGGCAAAAGAAGAATGGGAGGGCAGAGAATGAGGTGGCTGGATGGAGTCACCGAAGCAGTAGGCGTGAGCTTAAATGGATTCTGGAGGATGGTAGAGGACAGGAAGGCCTGGAGGAATGTTGTCCATGGGGTTGCGATGGGTCGGACATAACTTCATGGTACCTTTATTGTTGTTGTTGTTAACAAACAACAACAACAACAACAACAACAAAGGTGTTGCTCTAGGATCAGGGAGATCTCAATTCAAGTCTACATTCAAAGAAGTGCTATGTGAGATCCCAAAGGAAAGAGGATATAATTCCAATATATACCTTGATAAAAGTTGGAGTTTCTCAAGATTATAAGTGTATTGGAACAATAAGGCGTTCTCATTATCTATATATTTCAGCTCAGTTCAGCTGATCTAGCAGTCATTCTGACTGGGAAAAAGTCTGGATATCTTCACAAGGATTATTAGATAATGTACCAGTCCCTGGATTATATAAAATCTGTTTCTCAACTCCATTAAGTTTTGTACATCAGCAATGAATTATCAAGCTAAATGGTGGGCTTGACACCTGTGAGGCTGAAGTATACACCTTCAGATAAAGCCTTTTATTGCTCTCTGCCCAGTGTCATAGTAATAACCTTCCTTTTCTTACTTGATATTGGCATGTCATCACCTAGTTAAATCGGACGCAACAGAACCTTCATTGAAAAGCTATCTTGTTGCCTCTTGATAGAAGTCAATCCTATATTTAATTTACCTCCTTCCAGTTGTGTTGACATCATCATTTCATTTATCATTTTATTGAGATTTATAGGCCGCCCTTCTCCCTGAGGGGACTCAGGGCGGCTTACAATCACAAGGGGAGGGGGTGCAGTACCAAGAGACAAACAATAGTGAACAAAATAAAATTGTAAACCACCATTCAACAGTCAACACTCGGGCGGGTAAATTGGAAACCTATCCCCAGGCCTGCTGGGAGAGCCAGGTCTTGAGGGCTGTGCGGAAGGTCTGGATGGTGGTGAGGGTACGAATCTCAACGGGGAGCTCGTTCCACAGGGTCAGAGCTGCAACAGAAAAGGCTCTCCTCCGTGTAGTCTGTGCGATCTAATCGGTCGGAGGGAGGTGATCGGCAGAAGGCGGTCTCTCAAATATGCCCAAAGCAGGAACAATTCCTTGAGAGGAGAATTCAACAAATGAATTAAATATTTATTTTTCTCCCCCTCTTTGCTTTCTTGAATGATGGCAAAGATTGGAATGAGGTTTATCTTTGAAATTAACAGGGAGGGAGGGAGAGCCCACACTTCAAGGTCTTGGATGTAAAAATGAACTAAAGGGCAGAAAAATAACTAACGAAAATATGGAAAACAATTGAGGAAGGTAGACCTTTCTTCTTTGGTTCTGCAGTAAAGAAACAAAAGAGTGATTGCAAAAGTCATGAGTAGAGATGAGGTTAGGGTGTGAGAAACATCCTTTCTTCTCTAGCTGAGAATAGTCACCAGGACATTAAAACAGAATACCAAATCTTCTCTGGGACAAATTACTGGTAGTTGAGCTGATTTTCTCTCAAGGAAAGCCTGTTTGGAAACTTGTTAGACAATGGATATGTCACACAACTACAGAGAGATTATTTGACAAGACATGCAAAAATTCTTTCTTGGAGACTGTTCATTGTGAAAAGACAGCTTTTCCAGGGCAATTGTGGTTTTATTCTTGAATGTCTTCATGTAATAAACGATGCTGCACAACCTCCTCAACGTCGACCTCCCCACTCAAAGATGTATTCAGACTGCAACTTTCAAAATCTCAGCCAGCAAGTCAGTGTGTTGAAAAGTGTTTTAAGTGTTGCCTCATGGTCTCATTATGAAAATAGTCAAAGTCATATCACAACAAAGGAGGATTTGAGTATTTTCATAATGAGACCATGTTTATTTTGCTTTCAGAGCGGGACTACCACACTTTGTGTGATAAACTGCCGATTGGACGTCTGCTGTTCCGGCAGTTTTGTGACACACGAGTAGAACTCATGCGCTGTGTCAAGTTCCTGGATGCTGTGGTAAGCACAACTCAATAAGAGTACCTGGTGGGGATGGGGGCACTAATTGCACATTTTTGCATCTGGGGATCCTACAGTGCATCCATTTCAAATTGTGTGCCTAGCTCTGTCGCAACTTCCTTGTTGTGCTCTCTTCAGAGTCTAGTGTTATCCCTGAATAGTGCAATAGTGGGTTCTCCTCAAGAGATACTGCAACACATAGAGAATATTCTCCCTGACCTGTCTCTCTGTACCTAGAATGACCGTTTTGAATCTTTTAAGCTGTGTTTTTATTTCTAGCAGGGATCTGTAGCAATGGTGCCACTTTTTCTCATTTCAGGTCGAGTATGAAGTAGCCCCGGATGAGAAACGGAAAGAATGTGGGAAACACCTAATTGAAGTATATTTGAATCCTAAGGTGAGGGGCTTCTTGGGTTGTGGCAGCCCAGCAAAGGAGCCATGGGGCTCATTGTGAGTTACTCTTAATAATAACCTGGGCTTTGGGAAGAACAATTGCCTTAGTGAGAACTCTATTTGTCTTTTTTCGGGGCTTTGTGATTGTGTGTATGTTTTGGTGTGTGTGTGTGTAGATTGTCAGGATGCTCACAACTGAAGTGATTGTGATGATGATGCAAGTATCTATTTCAGCCCTTTCTTATTCAATGCCTGGTCCTTGTAGAATATCAATCAATATCACTGATCGTCAATATCATTCATTGCCAAAGTTCCTATCTTACAACAAACTCTAAAGGTCTAGCAATGCACGGAGAAACACCAAGAGGCGACTGTAATTTCCTCCTGTTTATTCCTGCTGCTGTCCTATCCCATTCCCTCCAGCCCCACGATAATCCTGCCAAGGACGGGTGCTTCGGGAGGGAATTTGTTGCTTCTTGCAGAGCCGTGAATCCTCATTTGACACTGATGCTTTGCCCTCAGAGTGCGGACCACGTCCCTGAAGTGCCCTTGGAGCTAGTGAATCTGTGTTCTGAGCAACTGGAACAGGAACCAAGTGAAGAACTCTTCAAGGAATCTACCAAGTGAGTGGAGAGAATAGGTGGGATTTGATTAATGCCCTGTATATTTTTCTGGACAATAATTGGTGACCCAACCAGATCTAAGCTTGCTCTTCACCAAAAGCATGGAGAATTCGTTACTGATAATTGTTAGAACTTGTTCTATATTATTATTTATTTCTCTGTCATAGAAGAGCTGCTAGGCAACATAGAGCAAAACATCATTGTGCACATTTTAATAAGTGATGTTTAGATTATTAGCAGAGCTGTTGAAGTTTTGATAACTGGTGGGAAAAAAGAGATCCTAACCTTACGTTTCAGATCCAGACATTTTATTTCGGGTCATACTCTTTGTCCCTGGAAAACACTATGCCTTCATTAGATATCTGAGGGTGTGCTCCACCAAAGTAAGCCAGTTGGCAACCTGATTAGCAACCATATTAGAGATTCCTTAAACACCGTCCATCCACTACATTGATTTCAAGAGAGGCAGGGCATGTAGAAATAAGGAGGTTCTATATCTCAAACCTCTTATATTATCTGGTAACAAGCTCTGGCCCAAATTTGTCTAGCAAAATCTTCTAGTCCTCTATTGCATCTGTCAAAAACGTTTGATCAAATGGGTAATGAGTTAATAGGCTGCTACTCTTTCTGTAAATGAGAATCACTTTCTTATGCTATCTAAGTTGAGTATTATATCTTTGGCTTTCCTATAGGGTAATGTCTTTGGAATAGCCTTGGCCACATAAATTATGAGTGTTCCTAATTCCGTGAGGGTTTTCCACCTTGTGTCCAGTCAATTTTTTGAACATCGAAGCATCCGGCATCATCTTTATTTGTCTGCATGGGGGTGACTTCAATTTCCCTAAGAGGATCTAGTTCCTTTTCTAGGCTCATCCATGACTACCTTAGTGTGGCACCTTTCGCAGATTATCTTGACAGCATTTATTTCAACCGCTTCCTGCAGTGGAAGTATCTGGAAAGGTAAATCTTACTTTGTTATGGACTCAGTGGTATTTGTGGTCCAGCTTATTTGGGCCTATTGTTTATACAATATATAATTTAAAGAGCCTGTTTCCTGCCCTGAACAATCGTGCTGTTGGGTGGGAGGGGGGAATCTTGCTTACATAATGGAAATGAATGCAATCCTCATCAGAATTTTTTCCTCATTAGCCTGCTAGAACTTTTTTATTCCGATTTATTGGGGTCATGTATAAAATCTTGCTTGCATGTTGTATTGATCAAAAGAGAACAGGATTAACACTGCACCCTTCTAATGGGCAACTGATCTCTGTTTTCCTCTTAGGCGGCATGTAACCAAGAACACTTTCCGTCAATACCGTGTGCTGGGGAAGGGAGGCTTTGGAGAGGTATGTAATTTGACCAACCCCGAGGAAGTAGTTCCCCTGTCTGCTTTTGGGAACCTACCATATGGAATAATTTTCTGTTTCTGAATAGGAACTCCACAAGAATGTGATCTTGGTTATTTCAATTATTTCAGCTGCTGGTGATACAAGTACCTTTCTGAATAGCATGACTGATACACTAAGCATTTAAAGCCCTTTCTTGCTGCTTCCTACATTTGATGCCCCAAACTTTGCAACCAGGGAAATACTAATGGCTGCAAAACATGAAAGGATTCAGCAAGAAAGAGAGAGAGTATTTATGTTTGATTCTGAGCTTCAAGACTGTCATATTATTCTCAGCAGGAAGGCCATGAACTCATTATTATTGTTATTATTTTGCAGTAAAAGCCAAGGCTTTTGTGATGGAGTCAATAAACCATTTAGTCGCTAAGATATCACAGCATTTTTGCTTGAAGATATCAAAGTAATGACTTCAGGATCCCATAAGCCACTTAACTGATAAAGCTGATAAAATCCCATGAACTGCCAAAACTCATCACCCTTAATTTCTTCCCTTCAAGGTTTGTGCTTGCCAGGTGCGGGCCACCGGAAAGATGTACGCCTGCAAGAAGCTTGAGAAAAAGCGGATAAAAAAGCGGAAAGGGGAAGCCATGGCCTTAAATGAGAAGCAGATACTGGAGAAAGTGAACAGTAGGTTTGTAGTAAGTACATAGGAACTGCTTTACTTCTGGCCGGGGCTTGAGAGGGGGTTGGTCATACAATTACTTGCTGCCCATTCCAGAGGTGAGTTCCTACGGGTAAGCACCGGTTTGGTGGAACCAGTAGTGGAAATGGCGACTGGGTCACTGAACTGGTAGAGATGGCAGGCTCGCCACGCCCCCAAACTGGTTCTCCAGTCACCGTGACATCCTTATTTGACATTTTTAATGTTCTGCGCATGCGCAGACCTATTTATAGGCAACTGCAAATCGCGCGCGCACCAAACCGGCAGTAATGCCAGCATTAACCCACCCCTGGCCCACTCTCTCAATCTCTGCTCCATAATGGGCAGGGACTAATGCAGGGTTGTCAAACTCACGGCCTGCAGGCGGGCTGGATGCGTCACGCGCTGGCCATGGCCACACCCATTTTAGCAAAGGGGGGGGGAGTCATGATATGTCACGTGACGCCGTCGTGATGTGAGTTTGACACAGCTGGGCTAAAGTAAGTTGGATTTCCTTAGCCAGGTGGCAAGAAGAGGCTATTGGGCTTTCCCCCTCCTGGCCTATAATGCTAAACTTATAGCCACTGCAGGACTACTGCCCTCTCTCAGACATCAGTTTATATGGGATCTTGAACTGCCAGTAAATGCTTTGTGGAAGATCTGAATGATAATGGGCAATTTTACCTAGAACGCTGCTCCCTCTTCCATATGTCTAAAGGTTACATACTGTACATAGAGATCGACCACACTACACCTTTTTGGGATTGAAACATTAGGCAAATTACGGAAAAGGAATTAGAAAAAAATAAGCCAAAGCAGTTAGGGCATGAGATGGGAAGAGAAAGGATATAGAGTTAAATCTATATCAGGACAACATAGAGTACCCGTATATACGTGTTGGTCCCTGAAAACATGCCCATGCAAGGGTTCATATATTTTGTTTTTTAAGCTTCTCACCTCTCTCTCGTGCTAAGAATCTTATCAACTCCATCTAACTATGACTTCCTCAGTCTTCTTCATGGACCTTCCTTCCTTCCTCCCTTCCCTTCCATCCATCCATCCATCCATCCATTTTGCACTTGCATTTAGCAAAATGATGGCAAAACTCTTCCATGGCTTTAATCCAGAGGTGGTCCGTTACGCCAGAAGAGGTAGTGAAAATCTGGCATACCGAATAGGATTGGTAGTAAAAATGGTGGCTTGGCCACATCCCCGAACCTGTTCTGCCGTCAAAAGCTTTGTCAAGCTTTTTTTTAAAAAGGTTTTTTTCCCCCTGCTGGTTCAGGCAAGGGGAAGAAAACCTTTAAAAAATAAGAGAGGGAGGGAGGGAGGGAGGAAGGAAGGAAGGGAAGGGAGAAAGAAAGAGAAGGAAAGGGGAAAAAAAGAAGGAAACTCACTTTTCTGCCGGGAGATTCAGCAAAGGAGAAAAACAAATGATGTCGCTTTAAATCGGAATTGAGCATGTCTGGCTGTGGAATTCTGGGAGTTGAAGTCCACAAGTCTAAAACCTGCGAACTTTGGAGTCCTGCTTTAAATTGAAAAGCTGCTCAGGTTTGCAAAGTGGCATTCAGCAGTTATTGGGGGGGGGGTTGCTTCCCACAGAGGGAAGGGAGGGAGGGAGGGAGGGAGGGAGGAAGGAAGGAAGGAAGGAAGGAAGGAAGGAAAGAAAAAGAAAGAAAGAAAGAAAGAAAGAAAG